GACAAAATACTGCATCTGAACATAATGGTTTTAATGACTGGATTTCAAGGCCATTGATGATTATTAATACTAAGAGATGGCTCACTCATTATGTGTAGTTGGCTACAAATTAGCCTGCAGGCTGTTCCAAGGGGACGGCGAGCATTGCCGTGCTGTGGTAACCGATGTAGTTGGACGGCTGACCCTAATGTTATCGTAAAGGGAAGATGGATGGAGTAAGTTGAGCCCCCCCCATCCCTCCCTCTGCTCTGTCCCTGTTGAGGAGCAGAAACTGGGAGAGCGGAGAAATGAAGTGACATCATCAGCGTCGGCCACATTCCTGCGGAGGGAGGGGGCGAGGAGGAGGGGGGAAGAAAGACGGAGGAAGAGGAGGAGGAGGAGGAGAATGTCCCAAAACTTTTGAGGTTACAGGACCAACATCCCTCCCTCCCCCATCCCTTTAAACACACACTCGCTCTCACACACACACACACACACACACACACACACACACATCCAATCTCCCAACCTCTGCACGCCTGTTATCCGTGTGTGTGTTACAGTACACGGCCTCCTCTTCCTCATCATGCGCTCCCTGTTTTAATTCATGTGCTTCTACTCCTGTCCCCTCCCCCACCGCACCCCCCCCCCCCTCCCCCCTCCCTCCACTCATACCACCACCCCCCCCCCCCCTTCCCCACTTCTCTTTCTCTCTCCACCGACCAGAGGAATGCAGGAACCACATCTGGAACTTATTAGAGAGCAAGGGAGAGAAAGGGGTAGATGGAAATAAGTAATGGGGGGGGGGGGGGGCGTGGAGGGGGGGGGGAAAGAGTCAGATTGGGAGAAAAAAGAAAGTCCAGGAGGGGACAGAAAGAATGAACTTTGGTAAGCATAAAAAGGCTCATGTTGGGAGGCTAAGAATAAAAGTTAACAGCAACACCGATTAGTGCCAATTAACCTCGGTGGGCACGGGGCAGGGGGGGGCTCGGCTGGCACCTCAGATGGGAGGGGGCAATCACTACAGATTCCTGCGCAAATGTAGTCTTTGAACCGGCCACGACCATATTCTGTCTGAATGAGCAGCTCCACTGTCACTACTGAGGGAGCAGTCAGGCCTGAGTAATAGTCCTTTTCTCTCTGCCGCTGGCCTCCTGACCACTCCCTCCCTCCCTCCCCCCCACCCCCCTCCTCCTCCTTCATCCTAGTCCCCTCACTCCTTTTCTTCCAGCACACTCTCTCTACCCACACTACAATGCTGCTCCCCCCTCCACCTCACCACCTTTAAAACAAACAAAAAACTCTAATCACTCTCCATCAGGCTTCACCCACCTGCCCGAAAGACTAGCCCTCTTTGTCTCCCTCCACTTCTCCCCGAAACAACTTTTTTCTGGCCCCACCCCCCTCTACCTCACCCCAAATTGGTCCTCGCTGCAGAATGTGGCCGAAAACAACGCCAATAGATTCAGTCAGATGTGATGAAGTGTTCCCTTCTTGCTCGGGGGGCTCTGCATAAAGAAACATTTTTAAGGGGATGTGGGTTTTTGGTCCGACGTCTTTTTGTAACTCAGATGCCCCCCGGCCTGTCAAACACAAACTGCATACGGGGACTTTAAATCCTGGGGCTTCACTTGATAAACCCGTAGCTGGTAAGGGTTGCTCAAATGGAAATGTGTGTACACTTTCTGTTGAATTTATCGGCGACCACAAGTTTGATAATGACTTAATTCTTCTGTACCCTATCAGGTTTTCACTCGAACATTTCAAAGGAGGCGTGCTAGCGGCAGTTCTTTGCACAAACGCCACTTCAAAAAGCATGACATGACACTCGTGTCCAAAGGAATGCCCTTAAACAAACATATGAAGAGAAAAGCAATCAGCGTGTCACACATTGACAAACACACGCTGGGATGGAAATCCTAAGAATTTGTTGATTGAATGGAACCCAATGGGGAACAACAGGCATGGATGTACATTATAACATCACGGGCTCCATTCCCAGATTGAGCTTTACAGCTGGTTCAGTGATTGCTTTCAGTGGCTGATGTCAATTAGATGGGTTTTTTTGGTAAAATGCATCATTCAGATCCCGTAAAAATCGTGACCTCAATTCGTGTTTAAACAGTAGGATGCACCAGAGAGCCATATCTCGCTCGCTGGGATCAGAAAATTAAAAACAGACTTCTGCCTCGCTACATGTGTCACTCCAAATCTACACTGCGCGCCGGAAAGCGTTTAGTATCGCACCACAGAATGGTTCGTTAGCCTTGAAACCATGGCAGAAAGGTCCGTGGCGCTATAAATAATTCTATAAATGTATAATCCACAAGATCCTCATTGAAGTTTCTTGAAGGGTTTGAGTTTCTGTAGGGTAGCACTTTTTTCTTCATTAGCCACAGTAGATAGTACTGCTCGTGTTTAAATCCCTCGTAGCCATTATCTGAGCAGAAACTACTTCTCCCAAGTGCACTTTTAGTGGTTTTTACTGCCCACAATGTTCCCATCCCTTTCTAACCAACATTAGTGCATCTGCATGAGCTTAATGAAGCGGAGGACTGGCTTTGTGAGATTAGCTAACAAACTAATCAGCTTTTTTGTAAAAAGACAAAAACAAGGTTTGTTTGCCGAACAGTCACTTCAGATATAACAGAATTTATTTAGATACAAATGTCAGAAAGAAACTGGCCAGATGCATCAAATAATAGAAATCAGCACTTCTAGTATCCCACTGGACTCTTTATGAGGCTTTTCTAATTCTTCATTGTTCACTTTTACAGAGTCATAAACATTGCACAGACAGTATAGTAATAATAGAGCCACAACTTTGCAGATCAACTCTTGAGCACCCTTTCTTTACTGGGGCTGTAAAAGCCCCTCTTAATAGCTGACTCTTCAAATATCTGGATATTTTCTTTGTGAGCCCAACACAGGAATCCGTCTGAGGTCTGTGATTCACCGCTCGGCTGCGTGATTCAGGGTCGGAGCGTGCAGTTGGGCAGCAGCAGCAGCAGCTCGTGGCCTCCGTCTTCACAAAAGGACGGAGGCTGACAAATGGCACACCTGCACCGGAGCCTTTGTCCGAGTCAGCATTCGAGCCTATGGGCTGTAGGTGCAGTGCTGCAAGTCCAACCGCCTCATTAGGAAGTTAAAGGCGTGTGTTTGCAATGATTGATTATGCAGTAACATTTAACAGCTGCATTAACGGTGCCGCTTGCTTGCGACTTATTACCAGGTTGGTTTGTAGATACCAGGCTGGGATACCGAATCAATCACTCCAATGGTGTTGCTGGTAAAGAACTGGAAAACATTCACCGCTTTAATTAGCTTCTCGACTAATAACTATCCAATCATTAGCACTGCTAGGCAATTACATGTGTGCAAATTGCAGGCCACGGAATACTGTTTTACTTGTCTAATGAAGAGATAAAAGTCTGCTCCCAAACCTTGGTATTATCTCTTTCGAGGGTTCCATTCATTTCAGTTTACTCCTCTAATGTTTTCAAAGCCAAATGACCACAGTGCAACAATTGAGACGTTACATTTATTACACCATTTACAATCTTACTGAAAGAAACAAAGCCCCATTTGCAGCCTCCTAATCTCGTCTCCGGGAAAGCCTTTGAGAGCAAATGTCTTTGTGCTTGAGATCCCAACATGGAGTAATGATGGATTACACAGTTGTAACAAGGCAACAACAGACAATGGGACACATGGTTTCACACATGTAAATGGAATGTGTGTGTCTGTTTATTCACATCTGCAAAGTGTTGCGGAACTAGTCATGTGGAATGAACGCTTTAGGAGTGGACAAACAGGGCAACAGCATGTGACAGTAGGGGTCTCGGTGGCGGGAGCAGGGGGTTCTGTGTGTTTGTGTGTTGCGACAATGCCGGATTGTGTCATTTTGTGGATTCTAGGAGCGCTGTATTTGTCGTAGAAAAGCATCCTGCACCTGTATAGATTGTGGTGGGCTTCCAGGAACATTCAACAATGCACTATGGGTGGATGCTGAGCATGACAAGCCTGGATGAGCGATACAAAGCCTGGCAGACAGGGTGACATCATCCTTTTCCATACCTTCTCCGAACACGCCCCCTACCTATGATGAAGTGGTCTACTGGCCGGCCAGTCGTGCACGCTCCTCGGTCACCCAAGGTAGACAATAGGAGGGAAAAAAGGGAGGTTTGCTGCGGCTGCGTGGCCACGACGCCAAACATGCCTCGATCAAACAGGTCGCTTATAGAAATTACAACCATCCTCATCCTCATCCTCCTCATCCTCCTGTCTCCCAGCAACTCGCTGCGATTATCATAAGCCTACCTGGCACCCCACAGGTATGGAGGGGGGGGGGGGGGGCAGATGCATGGGCTGCTGCTGCTGCACACGCCTCATTGTGCACAGGCAATCGAGATGGGCTTTGTGTCACAGGTAGGACACAGTGACAGTGGAAGGGTTAGGTGGGAGGGGGATACAGGACCCCTACAGGGGCTGGTGGCAGTGGTGTCATTGACTGACAAGCCATTCAGATGCTATAGCAGTGTGGAAGTGCTGCTGGCATGTAGAGCAGCACTGGTCAATCACTGTCATTCCCGTCACGTCCTCAGCGTCTCACCACGGCCCGTCTGAAAAGCGGCACCGCGAGGGCTTGTCATATGCAAAAGGTCATTAAGACTCGTGGGCACGCGCATGCAGCAGTAATACTCAAGTTGGACGCACACACGTTTTCGCACGCGGACAGAGGCGCGCGACAATGATATTTCGCACCCAAAAAAAAGTGTGGTGATCCATTGCTGCGGTGCGGACACGCAGTCACACGCGCCCTCATACTTACATGCACGCGCGCACACATGCCGCTTAAGGTGATCCATTGCTGCGGGAATGCTGTGAAATCATGTTTTATGCCTTTTTCGGCACACACACTTTATGAGAAATACAACTGTGTTAAACCCTCGCACAATATTGACACTATCAAAGAGTATTCACCGTGTGTAATATAGAAAAAAAAGCTAATGCAGACTTACCAGTTTGAAAACTCAACACCAAACTCAGGAGCAGCAGCCTCTGCATGGTTCAGCCGACCAATAAATCCGTTATTGGCTCAAACCTCCGTGAGGACAGCATCAAAAAGCGGGAGTTTTCTGACTTTGGTAATAATTAGATAAAGAACAATAATCCTCCTGCGTCGTCCCTCCTCGTTTGTCCCCTGTCTCGGTGTGGACTTGCTCAGCTTTTATACCATTTCACTGCTTTTTTCACCCCTCTCTTCTTCTTTGCTCTCCAGCGACAGTCCGTTTTCTACTCTTCACTGGGGCAGCAAGCAAGAAGGAGTAACACCGGAAACATCCGGTCGTCCCCTTCAAAATAAAACGCACATTGAACAAGATGATACATTTGAAACAGATGTTGAGGAATGAACATCAGTTAATAATAATTGACGATATATTATCAATAAATGCTGTATTCGTACAATTCGATATTATATTTGATAGCTTTAATATACTGTAGTCCTGTCCTGCCCTTGTGAGAGCCACCTCCATATAGAAAATAACAATTAACTAATTTTCTTAGAAAATAAAGACCATTTTAATCCAAATAAAAGCTTACAGTCCTGAAAAAACACACTTATAAGGATGACACATGTTGATGTTGTACTGTAAACCAGATATTCGTTAGCTACCTGACAAATAAATCAGAATAAAAGTTCAAACAATGCAACCCGTGCAACCAAGCTCTACTTCCGGTGTTGTCTTCGCTGTAATCTCTCTGATTTGACGTCATATTCTCATTAACGGGGCATTCCTCTCTCTCTCCCCCTCTCTGTCTCTCACGTCAGCAGCACCACAGCACTGCCCCCCTTTTCCCTTTCCCCCTGGATCTTGCACACCGGCAAAAAAACACATTATGAAGTAAAAAATTAAAACAATAAACAAGCTTAGAAAGGCATAATCATTTTTGACACATTTGCTGTGGTCGGTACTGCTTTGTTTCTTGTTTTTCACAATGTGACATTAGGACATGAAATCATTCTAGATACCCTAACTCACCTCTACAATAACAGAATCCTCCTATTTATATCATTTAGGCCTGATATGTGAGTTATGGTGATGTCACACTTAATTATGTTAAATAGAAGACAGCAAGCTCAGTTGTCACTCAATTTAATTAACCATAATGTCATTGTCACATGTTAGAAAGCTCAATATAGGGAACATGTATTGCATGAGATTCCTAAGTAGGGTAGTGAGATGTAGGAGTAAAAAGTACCAAATAAATACTCATAGATATTATTACTTCTTAAAATGATATTCCCAATTTAGTGGGGCAAGGTAGTGATGTCACTATGATGAAAGAAATAGCCCGAGCACATGATGAATAAACAGACCTGATTCCTATCACATAATGTAGGCTACATATTTTTGGGGATGGTTCCCTGTCACAGCTCGGTGGGTCTGCAGAGAGCCGGTCCTCAGGCTGAGGCTGGAGCGCCCCCTCGTGTCCTGAACCTAGAACGACACTGACAGAGCACCAAGAGGGACTGGGGCGATAATCCCACCATATCTGATGTTCCCAACATGCTGTCAAGGATTCTAACCTTAAATAGGTGCACTCATTTAAAAATTGTATTTTTAACATAATTGGTTTGTTTACACCGTTAAAGCTTCATAATAGTCTGCAGGAAGGCTGTTAATAAATACAAGTAATATCACATTTAAAACATTATAAATTAATAACGTGGTTTGTTTGAGAAAAATAGTATCCATGGAATAATAGTTTCATTTTAATTTACTCCTGTTAAGATGTCAAATAAAATTGTTCGGAGAGCAATTTTTTTCATGTTTTCTCAACATGAGAAAATAATGCATAGTAAGGATTTTATAGAGAGAGAAAAGGAATTGTATATTATCATGTAACAATGAGGCGTGCATGAGTAAACCTAATGAAATCAGGGTTGGAATACAAACTCAGAATTGTATTTGCTATAAAAATGTAACAGAATAGAGTACAGCATAGAAGGAATGGGATGGGGAGTGTTTCACTTGACACACTACAGCTCTCAATATTGCGCGCACAGTTATGATCATTTACAGCATCTGCTACCAAAACATCACCCTCATCACTTACATCTGATAAAAGTGACCGCAGGTCTGCCATGTGGCACACAGAGTGACTCATCTCTGCCGGGACTCGAACCCGGAGCCTCTGGATTAGAAGTCCAGCGCGCTATTCCATTGCGCCACAGAGACTGCGCCAGGATATCCCGTGAGTGGCACAGTTTTCATCCATATAGCCTCTCATACCGCTACTCTGCATCCCGCAGCATCAGGACCACTCTGAGCCGACATGTTGTTAGTTCCGTGTGCGACCACCAGAGGGCGCTGTTGCTACACCCTGGGGTGTGAGTCCCTCATAGATGAGTCAAGTTAGCTGGCGTACAACCGGAAGTCTAGAGGTCCCGTTTAAAAAATAAAAGTTGCCGCCACAGTTAATGGCATATTAGTATATCTTCGTAATCGAGGCTTTTATTCTGAAACTTCGCAACCCGGAATCTTCTTTAAATAAAACTTTTTAAATTTTCACCAAAGAGCCAAAATGGTGCCAGTTGGAGCTTCTGTTTCTCCGTGTACAAATCAAATTGAAATGTAAAAAATATTTGCGATATGACGGATCTTTAAGACAACAAATCGAACATCGGCCAGTTTAAAGAAAGCCAGTGCTACAACCATGTTCAACAAATGCAATCAGAAAAACGAGAGGATAGTGTTTGCTGCTATGGCTATTAAAAATAGCTCAAGGAAATATGTCAAGTGTTTAATTACTATAATTGGTATTTGAGTCATTTTAATGGTTTATTAAATTATCGTTTTTCAGCACACATGTATAGGCCCTACTCAGTGTCTTATTTTTGAAATAGTGCAGCACTCACTGTATAGAAACAGTAGGCTACACAGTCTATTGTTACACCAGGATTGCATCAGATACATATAATTCCCCCCCACCCCCCACATGTGCCACCATGATTAATTGCTTGCCTAAGTCCACGAGTGGGAAATATAACCTACGTATTCGTCCAGTATTGGATCTTCTAAAGTTTCACCATCCCGGAATAAAACAATAAATCTAGGTTATTGGGTTATTTTTCAATATTTGGCAGATGGGACCAAAGGTGTAGCTCAACAGGAACCTTTGATCTTGTGTTGGGTAAAATTGACTCTTAAAGTATGTGGGTCACACTGCAGCTTTTCTAGGTAAAATACTTTGATAAATGGTAGTTTTAAACACTTTTGCCTTTTTACTTCTGATGCTAATTGATGTGAGTCCCATGGTCCCCTGAAGTGGCTGAATTACTTTAAATATAGTGTATTCAGGTTTACAGCCCTGGTGTCATCCCCACAGCACCCCCCATTTGAAACATGTTCCCACGGCTATGTTTCTTGCCATCTACACTGTTTATGTCAAGGACACCTTCTGTAGTAAAACATAGACCCAGTCAAAATTCACCATAAAGGTTCATGCATATTTTCCCCAGTGTGTGTGGACAGTAAATACAAATACGCCTGTAAGCTTTGAATGTGACCATTTAGGCTTAAATATAATGTGACTGTATGTGAGTGCAATACAGAAAGTATCTGAGTCATTTTTAGAAATGCAATTGTTGCCCTTCTTTTGAGGAAGAGTGTGAAGTTGTTATGGTGCAATTTCAAAACTTTTCACGTTACAGTTCTCGTTGAAAACAAGTAGTTCTGTACAAGAACTGAAACTTCTCAGAGTAAATAATGCATTATCCTCATTTATTATTTTCTTAGAAGTTGATTTTCGATTCTGTAGATCGCTTTCCTAAATGTAGCACAAATGTAGCACACTCTCTGTTGTACCACAACAGAGACGACACACAGTTAGTGTTTACTATGATTTGCAAAAAGGGATGTTGTGAAATTTCATTTTCTGCTAAAGGTTGGATATTGTGAAATTCTTATCACAGTCTAACTGTAGGCTCCGATAATATTGTATCTGCAAAAGCCTGTAAACTCTTACTATACCGCTATCATTCCTAGATTATATTATTGTAATAAGTGAAACATTTTCTTTATGTGCAGAAACTTTAAACATTTATTAAAAATCAAACAAAGAATTTAGCATACAATGTGAAACCCATGCACTTCATCAACACATTCATCCTTTCTGTTTTGATCTTTCAAACGTTTACAGTTATTCATCGGTATTTTCACTGTTACCTCATTCACACCAACGGTGTTTCGGGGCCAGTTCGGAGCTGGAGCTTGAAAAGCACCGGGTTTTCCTCTTCACATCTGTTGAGATCTCTATATGAAGTGAATACTTAAAACGAAAGTTAATTATAAATCATATATGATCAATCATATTCTTGTATAAACCCATAATGAGAATGCTTCTTGATGGTTTTTGAATATGTATGTATGCTTACAATTGTATCTGTTGCTATTTGATAACTTTGCGTTTTGAAAAGAGGGTGTTGAGAGTTTTCATAGTATGTTTAATACTTAAAACGAAAGTTAGTTATAATCAAATATAATCAATTATATTCTTGTATAACCCACAATGAAAATGCTTCATATTTTAGGTTTTTCTATAGTTACAGTATAAACAAAACCAAGTGGTTTGTTAAGTTGAGTGTAAGGCCTATGAAAGTTATGGGTGTCTCTGATAAGAGAGTAGGCCGTTTTTTCCCTCTCCTCTGACAGCAGTTCACAGGGAGGGGGGCTCCTTACTGAAGGAGAAAAACATTGAGGCGTCAAAAAGCTGTTTATGATAGCCATAGAACATGTCGGGTCATGTCCAGCCCTGTACATTAGAGGCCATGCCCAGTTTTCCACAAATTGGGTGTGGAGGAGGTGCTTTGGGGTTTCGATCCGGTTTTTTGAGCATAAAGAGACTGGTTTTTTGAGAGAGCGCGAGAGAGAGGGGGGTTTCCCCTGGTAGACTCTCTCCCGGTAGGCTTTGTCCTTCAGAGCTGGGTTAATAGCTCTCGGTAAGGTCCTCTCACACTTGGTAAATATCTCTCGAATTTCTTGGTTGTTGGCTGAGTGGAATGATTTGATGAGAGATGTGTTTGTGAATATTATACCCGCCACCTGTGAGGAATCTTCCTCCGAATTAATTGCGGACAGGAACGGGTTTTTTTAATGTTATACCCGCCGTCTGTGTCGGAAAAAAGGTATGAAACTGATGTGAATTGATTTGGTGAATGAAAAGTTGAATGCGCTTTTTATTGTCACCGGTCTTTTTATGAGGAAATACCTCTAAATTCTATCGGGAGAATTTTAAAATGTCATAACTGAA